GGTACAGTGATAAGAGGTGCAGTGATAAGAGGTACAGTGATAAGAGGTGCAGTGATAAGAGGTGCAGTGATAAGAGGTACAGTGATAAGAGGTACAGTGATAAGAGGTACAGTGATAAGAGGTGCAGTGATAAGAGGTACAGTGATAAGAGGTACAGTGATAAGAGGTACAGTGATGGTAATGGGGGCGGGACGAAAGGGGCGTGGCCATGCGGGCGTGGCGGAGGCGGGGCGAAAAGGGCGTGGTCAAGCAAGCGTATTAGGGGCGGGGCGACGAAGGCGTGGCCTGTAGGCGCGGGGGTGGTAGCGGAGCGATGAGGGCTGAATAAATTTCTGAATGAATTTTTCTAGAATTAAAACGACCAGAAAAGAAATGAGATAAAAGGACAAAAACAAAATAAAAAGTTAAAATTGCAAAGGCTATTGAAAGTTTTATGATCAATAATTTTTTTTTAAATGGAATTTCCGTATGGTATTTCATTGAATTTTTATGTCTTTTTTCTTGCTTAACAAAAAAAAAAAAAAAAAATGAGAACAAAAAATATGATAGGAAAGAAAAAAGAAAAAAAAAAAAACCTAAAATTACAAAAAAATCATGTTTGCTATCTGTTTTGATGATAATAAATTGAATAACTCAGTGATTAAATTAAATTATGAAATAATTTTTTATTTTTAGTTGCAATATAATATAGAATAAAAGAATCAATTAAACTATTTAGTACCTAAATTAGATTAGTTAAAAAAATCAGCGAAACAAAAATATTCATTTAAAAATGATGAAATTAATGAAATTGAAAAATATTTTTTCTTTTAAGAAAAACTAATTTTCTTTTAAAGTTTCAAAGAATTTGGTAAATATTGTTACTGTTATTGTTATTATTGCTACCTTTCAAATTTAACTACTAATATATGTCATACCTTTTTTTTTTTTTTTTTTTTCAAAATTTGTCTACTTAAATTACTATACTTTTTTTTTTTGGTGATATTTAAATGGTTATGCTTTATTTAAATTTATTCTAGCATGTGGAATTCTAGCATGTTTAAGGACATCTATTTGCTAATATTTAATTTAGAATATTTGGAATGTAATATTGTTTATCTTGCATTGTATAATAGCTCAAATATTTTAGAAAAAGTAATAAAGTAAAAAATTAGTAAAAAAAAGTAAAAAATTATGTTACTTATAAATTTAGTCATTGCTATTTTCAATTATTAGCAATATTTGATTCTTGAATTTGCAATTCAATTTTAAGTAATCGAATATTAGCTCATATTTCAGATAATATATGCTAATCAATGGCAATCAATGCAACTAATAAATGATCAAAAAGCAATTCATTTTCGTCCTTTTTTTTTTCTTTACATTTAGGAAAATTATCATTGAATAATAATCAGTTCAAAAAAAAAAAAAAGCATTGATCATAGCTAATTGATCAAAATAACTGCAATCATTTAGAATCAAATCACGATCATTTTAGACAAATCAAAAAATGATTGTTTTAACTATCCAATAAAGCTAATAACAATTTTGTGGACAAATGTTCAATTATTTGACAAAATTTTCTTTGTCGCAAAAAAAAAAAAAAAAAAAAAACTAATCATAAAATAACAATTGAACACTGAAAATAAATTGATAATTAATAATAATAATTAAATTTTTTCATAAAATTCCTCGAGTATGAAATAACAAATTTTGTCACTTATTTTTTTTTTTTAAATCCTGAAATTGGTAATAGTTGTAGTTCCTTCAAAATTTGAGAAATTTTGAAAAAGCAAAGATTATTTGTTATAAAAATGAGCAAATTTCAAAACATATTTATAATTAATTTCAGGATAAAAATCCTATCAAGAATTTACATGTGGTTTGAATTTATAATCTTTTCAATTTTAATACCAATAATTTTTGAAATAGTTTTTAATATTACTTTAATTAAAAAAAAAATTTATTAAGTATTACTTTAATCAAAATCAAAAAATTGATTATATATTACTTTAATTTATTATATATTACTTTAATCAAAATCAAAAAGTTTAGCAATTAAGCTTACATATTACCTTCATGCTGAAAGCTAAATGATTGCAAAATTTCAAATTTAACATTTTCTTGCACCTATTTTTATTTTAAAATAACTTAAAATTTTTGTTTTGCTAGATTTTTGTAGCTTAATTTAATTAAATAAGCTTTACCGATTGATATATTTCTCGAGAAAATTTTTATAATTTTTGCAATCTGATATAAAAATTTGACTTTAGTGATAAATTTATAATTGATATAAACTGTTATCATATCTCTACTAGCCAAGCCAATAAGTGTTAAATTTTTCATCTAATGTTACCTAAGTTTCAAAAGCAGAATTTTATATTTATATTTTTAGCTTAAATTATATTTTTGTCAAATTAATTTTTTCATTTAATTAAGAAAAGTTTATTATTTAAAAATTCCATTCAGTTTTAATAGTTTCAAATAATTACAGCTATCAGTTTTACGTAATTTATGCATATTTTAACAATTTCAGCAGTTTTATGCTTATATTTGAATTTATAATTTTAATTTTGCGCTCAAATCTTTTTTAGAATAATTGATTCGTGATAATATGAAGTTATTATCAGAACTATATTTGATAACTTTTAAAAATAACTAATTAATTGATAATTAGTAAAACTGCTATAGAATCCTAATTATTATTGATTAAATCTATTAGATTCAAAACATTTGCTGTTAAACTGAATGAAATTATGAGAAATTTAATATAATTTTTTTTTTTTTTTTTGCTCATTAAATCATTAAATGATCAATGCCGCATTCTTTAAAAGCATTAATTGATTCAACTGATTTAATCAATATTATCAAATCAGTGTAAATAATTTACCAATATTATCATATCACAATATCAATGTAATTTAAGTAGATTAAGGATATTAAATGTTAAATTATTTTTATAATATCAATATTCTATCAGTTATAATCAGTGTGACATTTTTGTGACAATTTCTCCTTTCCTAAATTCATTTGCATTCAAATGAAAGCACTTTTAATGATTTGTTAATTTATCAATTTTTTTCTTAAACGCTCTTACGCTGATCACACAGCTAATTGATAAATAACACATTTCAATTGTTTAGCTGATAAGATATATCAAAATGAACTTTTATAAGATTGATCTGAACATCTTAGCTAAATCATTCATTTATTTTCAAATTAATTTTTATTATCATAAACAACCAACAATTTAATTCTATTAATTTCATTCTTTGTCTTTCACAGTTTTTTTCCTAAAATTTAATCATTTCCCATCCATTAAATCAATTAATCTATTTGATAATAATAAATCAATCTTATGTGCAACAAATAATTTTTTTTTTTTTATCTCATAAATCGATTTGAAAATTGATTTATTATTATCAGTGTGTTTCAATCAGTTACAAAAGTGACAAAAATATTCACAAACATTTCAAATTTTTCCGACTTAAAATTTTCAAAATTTTTTATCACTTGTGCTTAATTTAAAAAAAAAAAAAAAAAACTTATTTTCTTACATATTTTATCAATTCATAAAATTTCAAATTTTCATAAGAACTTTTTTTTTTTGAAAAAGAAAGAAAAGAAGATGTATAACTGTATTATAATTTCATATCACAAAAATTATCCTATTATAATGAAAAAATCAAATGAAATAATATATCATTGACATATAAATAGCAAACAAAATTAATTATCATATTAAATTAAAATTTGAAATTAGAAAAAAGAGAACAATTCATTTTATTAGTTATGTCACATTACTTTTATACAATTATTTCAATCAATACAAAAGTTTTTTTTTTTAGTTTGATTCCATTTCAATCAACATATATAATAGTTTGATTCCATTTCAACATATATCATATTCGATACATTTATTTATTTTATAATTATTATACTTCCCAGAACAATTTTCCCAAAAAAACTTCAGCTAGAAAATCAAAATTTATTACTTTTTCTAAAATATTTGAGCTATTATACAAGATAAACAATATTACATTCCAAATATTCTAAATTAAATAATACCAAATAGATATCCTTAAACATGCTAGAATTCCACATGCTAGAATAAATTTAAATAAAGCATAACCATTTAAATATCACCAAAAAAAAAGTATAGTAATTTAAGTAGACAAATTTTGAAAAAAAAAAAGAAAAAAAGGTATGACATATATTAGTAGTTAAATTTGAAAGGTAGCAATAATAACAATAACAGTAACAATATTTACCAAATTCTTTGAAACTTTAAAAGAAAATTAGTTTTTCTTAAAAAGAAAAATATTTTTTCAATTTCATTAATTTCATCATTTTTAAATGAATATTTTTTGTTTCGCTGATTTTTTAACTAATCTAATTTAGGTACTAAATAGTTTAATTGATTCTTTTACTATATTATATTGCAACTTAAAAATAAAAATTATTTCATAATTTAATTTAATCACTGAGTTATTCAATTTATTATCATCAAAACAGATAGCAAACATGATTTTTTTTTTTTTTTGTAATTTTAGGTTTTTTTCTTTTTCTTTCCTATCATATTTTTTTGTTCTCATTTTTTTTTTTTTTTTTTTGTTAAGCAAGAAAAAGACATAAAATTCAATGAAATACCATACGGAAATTACATTAAAAAAAAATTATTGATCATAAAACTTTCAATAGCCTTTGCAATTTTAACTTTTTATTTTGTTTTTGTCCTTTATCTCTTTCTTTTCTGGTCGTTTTAATTCTAGAAAAATTCATTCAGAAATTTATTCAGCCCTCATCGCTCCGCTACCACCCCCGCGCCTACAGGCCACGCCTTCGTCGCCCCGCCCCTAATACGCTTGCTTGACCACGCCCTTTTCGCCCCGCCTCCGCCACGCCCGCATGGCCACGCCCCTTTTCGTCTTGCTCCCTGCCATTACTGCACCTCTTATCACTGTACCTCTTATCACTGTACCTCTTATCACCGTACCTTCTTATCACTGTACCTCTTCATCATGCAATCTTCTTATCACTGTATTCTTGTTATCACTGCACCTCTTATCACTGTACCTTCTTATCATGCACCTTTTGGTAACGCACCTCTTTTGGTCGCACTTATTGCACGCACCTTGGTACCGCGGCCTTCTGGTACCGTACCTTTATGGTACCGTACTTTTGTTATTGTACCTCTTGTTACCGTACCTTTTATCACCGTACCTCTTGGTACCGTACCTCTTATCACTGTACCTCTTGGTACCGTACCTTGGTACCGTACCCTCTTGTTACCGCACCTTTTGGTACCGTACCTCTTGTTACCGCACCTTTTGTACCGTACTTGTTATACGTTAATCTTTTGGTACCGTACCTCTTGGTACCGTACCCTTTATCACCGTAAATTCTTGGTACCGTACCTCACACTGTACCTCTTGGTACCGTACTTTTTGTTATTGTACCTCTTGTTACAAAATTTTTGGTACCGTACTCTTGGTACCGTACCTTTATCACCTGGTACCCTCTTGGTACCGTATTTTGTTATTAGTATCTTGGTACCGTATCTTTGTTGATGTACTCCTTGTTACCGTACTTTATCACTGTATCTTGGTACCGTAATTTTATCACTGTACCTTGGTACCGTATCTTTTGTTATTGCGGCCTTCTAGTTGTCAGGCCTTGGTAAGAACCTCTGAGTTACCGCACCTTTTGTACCATATCTTTTTTGTTAAAACGGTGATAGAAGTACGGTACCAAGAGATACAGTGATAAAAAGTACGGTAACAAGAGGTACGGTACCAAGAGGTACAGTAATAAAAGATACGGTACCACGAAAATACGGTGATAAAAGGCATACTAGAGGTACGGTACCAAAAGGTACGGTAACAAGAAAGAATAATGAAAAAGTACGGTACCAAGAGGTACAGTGATAAGAGGTACGGTACCAAGAGGTATTTGGTGATGGTAATATACGGTACCAAGAGGTACGGTACCAAAAGGTGGTAAAGAGGTAACGGTACCAAAAGGTACGGTACCAAGAGGTACAGTGATAAGAGGTACGGTACCAAGAGGTACGGTGATAAAAGGTACGGTAACAAGAGGTACATAACAAAAGTACGGTACCATAAGGTACGGTAAGAGGTACGGTACCAAAAGGTGCGGTAACAAGAGGTACGGTACCAAAAGGTACGGTGCCAAGAGGTACGGTGATAAGAGGTACAGTGATAAGAGGTACAGTGATAAGAGGTACAGTGATTAGAGGTGCAGTGATAAGAGGTCAGATAAGAGGTGCAGTGATAAGAGGTACAGTGATGAGGTGCAGTGATAAGAGGTGCAGTGATAAGAGGTACAGTGATAAGAGGTGCAGTGATAAGAGGTACAGTGATAAGAGGTGCAGTGATAAGAGGTACAGTGATAAGAGGTGCAGTGATAAGAGGTACAGTGATAAGAGGTGCAGTGATAAGAGGTGCAGTGATAAGAGGTACAGTGATAAGAGGTACGGTGATAAGAGGTACAGTGATAAGAGGTGCAGTGATAAGAGGTACAGTGATAAGAGGTACAGTGATAAGAGGTACAGTGATAAGAGGTGCAGTAATGGTGGGGCGGGACGAAAGGGGCGTGGCCATGCGGGCGTGGCGGAGGCGGGGCGAAAAGGGCGTGGTCAAGCAAGCGTATTAGGGCGGGGCGACGAAGGCGTGGCCTGTAGGCGCGGGGTGGTAGCGGAGCGATGAGGGCTGAATAAATTTCTGAATGAATTTTTCTAGAATTAAAACGACCAGAAAAGAATGAGATAAAAGGACAAAAACAAAATAAAAGTTAAAATTGCAAAGGCTATTGAAAGTTTTATGATCAATTTTTTTTTTTAAATGGAATTTCCGTATGGTATTTCATTGAATTTTTATGTCTTTTTTTCTTGCTTAACAAAAAAAAAAAAAATGAGAACAAAAAATATGATAGGAAAGAAAAAAGAAAAAAAAAACCTAAAATTACAAAAAAAAAAAATCATGTTTGCTATCTGTTTTGATGATAATAAATTGAATAACTCAGTGATTAAATTAAATTATGAAATAATTTTTTATTTTTTAGTTGCAATATAATATAGAATAAAAGAATCAATTAAACTATTTAGTACCTAAATTAGATTAGTTAAAAAAAATCAGCGAAACAAAAAATATTCATTTAAAAATGATGAAATTAATGAAATTGAAAAAATATTTTTTCTTTTTTAAGAAAAACTAATTTTCTTTTAAAGTTTCAAAGAATTTGGTAAATATTGTTACTGTTATTGTTATTATTGCTACCTTTCAAATTTAACTACTAATATATGTCATACCTTTTTTTCTTTTTTTTTTTTTCAAAATTTGTCTACTTAAATTACTATACTTTTTTTTTTGGTGATATTTAAATGGTTATGCTTTATTTAAATTTATTCTAGCATGTGGAATTCTAGCATGTTTAAGGACATCTATTTGCTAATATTTAATTTAGAATATTTGGAATGTAATATTGTTTATCTTGCATTGTATAATAGCTCAAATATTTTAGAAAAAGTAATAAAGTAAAAAATTAGTAAAAAAAAAAAAAGTAAAAAATTATGTTACTTATAAATTTAGTCATTGCTATTTTCAATTATTAGCAATATTTGATTCTTGAATTTGCAATTCAATTTTAAGTAATCGAATATTAGCTCATATTTCAGATAATATATGCTAATCAATGGCAATCAATGCAACTAATAAATGATCAAAAAGCAATTCATTTTCGTCCTTTTTTTTTCTTTACATTTAGGAAAATTATCATTGAATAATAATCAGTTCAAAAAAAAAAAGCATTGATCATAGCTAATTGATCAAAATAACTGCAATCATTTAGAATCAAATCACGATCATTTTAGACAAATCAAAAAATGATTGTTTTAACTATCCAATAAAGCTAATAACAATTTTGTGGACAAATGTTCAATTATTTGACAAAATTTTCTTTGTCGCAAAAAAAAAAAAAAAAACTAATCATAAAATAACAATTGAACACTGAAAATAAATTGATAATTAATAATAATAATTAAATTTTTTTTATAAAATTCCTCGAGTATGAAATAACAAATTTTGTCACTTATTTTTTTTTTTTAAATCCTGAAATTGGTAATAGTTGTAGTTCCTTCAAAATTTGAGAAATTTTGAAAAAGCAAAGATTATTTGTTATAAAAATGAGCAAATTTCAAAACATATTTATAATTAATTTCAGGATAAAAAATCCTATCAAGAATTTACATGTGGTTTGAATTTATAATCTTTTCAATTTTAATACCAATAATTTTTGAAATAGTTTTTAATATTACTTTAATTAAAAAAAATTTATTAAGTATTACTTTAATCAAAATCAAAAAATTGATTATATATTACTTTAATTTATTATATATTACTTTAATCAAAATCAAAAAGTTTAGCAATTAAGCTTACATATTACCTTCATGCTGAAAGCTAAATGATTGCAAAATTTCAAATTTAACATTTTCTTACACCTATTTTTATTTTAAAATAACTTAAAATTTTTGTTTTGCTAGATTTTTGTAGCTTAATTTAATTAAATAAGCTTTACCGATTGATATATTTCTCGAGAAAAATTTTTATAATTTTTGCAATCTGATATAAAAAATTTGACTTTAGTGATAAATTTATAATTGATATAAACTGTTATCATATCTCTACTAGCCAAGCCAATAAGTGTTAAATTTTTCATCTAATGTTACCTAAGTTTCAAAAGCAGAATTTTATATTTATATTTTTAGCTTAAATTATATTTTTGTCAAATTAATTTTTTCATTTAATTAAGAAAAGTTTATTATTTAAAAATTCCATTCAGTTTTAATAGTTTCAAATAATTACAGCTATCAGTTTTACGTAATTTATGCATATTTTAACAATTTCAGCAGTTTTATGCTTATATTTGAATTTATAATTTTAATTTTGCGCTCAAATCTTTTTTTAGAATAATTGATTCGTGATAATATGAAGTTATTATCAGAACTATATTTGATAACTTTTAAAAATAACTAATTAATTGATAATTAGTAAAACTGCTATAGAATCCTAATTATTATTGATTAAATCTATTAGATTCAAAACATTTGCTGTTAAACTGAATGAAATTATGAGAAATTTAATATATTTTTTTTTTTTTTTTTTTTTTGCTCATTAAATCATTAAATGATCAATGCCGCATTCTTTAAAAGCATTAATTGATTCAACTGATTTAATCAATATTATCAAATCAGTGTAAATAATTTACCAATATTATCATATCACAATATCAATGTAATTTAAGTAGATTAAGGATATTAAATGTTAAATTATTTTTATAATATCAATATTCTATCAGTTATAATCAGTGTGACATTTTTGTGACAATTTCTCCTTTCCTAAATTCATTTGCATTCAAATGAAAGCACTTTTAATGATTTGTTAATTTATCAATTTTTTTTTCTTAAACGCTCTTACGCTGATCACACAGCTAATTGATAAATAACACATTTCAATTGTTTAGCTGATAAGATATATCAAAATGAACTTTTATAAGATTGATCTGAACATCTTAGCTAAATCATTCATTTATTTTCAAATTAATTTTTATTATCATAAACAACCAACAATTTAATTCTATTAATTTCATTCTTTGTCTTTCACAGTTTTTTTCCTAAAATTTAATCATTTCCCATCCATTAAATCAATTAATCTATTTGATAATAATAAATCAATCTTATGTGCAACAAATAATTCTTTTTTTTTTATCTCATAAATCGATTTGAAAATTGATTTATTATTATCAGTGTGTTTCAATCAGTTACAAAAGTGACAAAAATATTCACAAACATTTCAAATTTTTCCGACTTAAAATTTTCAAAATAATTTTTTATCACTTGTGCTTAATTTAAAAAAAAAAAAAAAAAAAAAAACTTATTTTCTTACATATTTTATCAATTCATAAAATTTCAAATTTTCATAAGAACTTTTTTTTTTTGAAAAAGAAAGAAAAGAAGATGTATAACTGTATTATAATGTAATTTCATATCACAAAAATTATCCTATTATAATGAAAAATCAAATGAAATAATATATCATTGACATATAAATAGCAAACAAAATTAATTATCATATTAAATTAAAATTTGAAATTAGGAAAAAGAGAACAATTCATTTTATTAGTTATGTCACATTACTTTTATACAATTATTTCAATCAATACAAAATTTTTTTTAGTTTGATTCCATTTCAATCAACATATATAATAGTTTGATTCCATTTCAACATATATCATATTCGATACATTTATTTATTTTATAATTATTATACTTCCCAGAACAATTTTCCCAAAAAAACTTCAGCTAGAAAATCAAAATTTATTACTTTTTCTAAAATATTTGAGCTATTATACAAGATAAACAATATTACATTCCAAATATTCTAAATTAAATAATACCAAATAGATATCCTTAAACATGCTAGAATTCCACATGCTAGAATAAATTTAAATAAAGCATAACCATTTAAATATCACCAAAAAAAAAGTATAGTAATTTAAGTAGACAAATTTTGAAAAAAAAAAAGAAAAAAAGGTATGACATATATTAGTAGTTAAATTTGAAAGGTAGCAATAATAACAATAACAGTAACAATATTTACCAAATTCTTTGAAACTTTAAAAGAAAATTAGTTTTTCTTAAAAAAAGAAAAATATTTTTTCAATTTCATTAATTTCATCATTTTTAAATGAATATTTTTTGTTTCGCTGATTTTTTTTAACTAATCTAATTTAGGTACTAAATAGTTTAATTGATTCTTTTATTCTATATTATATTGCAACTAAAAATAAAAATTATTTCATAATTTAATTTAATCACTGAGTTATTCAATTTATTATCATCAAAACAGATAGCAAACATGATTTTTTTTTTTGTAATTTTAGGTTTTTTTTTTCTTTTTTCTTTCCTATCTTATATTTTTGTTCTCATTTTTTTTTTTTTTTTTTTTTTTGTTAGCAAGAAAAAAGACATAAAAATTCAATGAAATACCATACGGAAATTCCATTAAAAAAAAAATTATTGATCATAAAACTTTCAATAGCCTTTGCAATTTTAACTTTTTATTTTGTTTTTGTCCTTTTATCTCTTTCTTTTCTGGTCGTTTTAATTCTAGAAAAATTCATTCAGAAATTTATTCAGCCCTCATCGCCCGCTACCACCCCCGCGCCTACAGGCCACGCCTTCGTCGCCCCGCCCCTAATACGCTTGCTTGACCACGCCCTTTTCGCCCCGCCTCCGCCACGCCCGCATGGCCACGCCCCTTTTCGTCCCGCCCCCCGCCATTACTGCACCTCTTATCACTGTACCTCTTATCACTGTACCTCTTATCACCGTACCTCTTATCACTGTACCTCTTATCACTGCACCTCTTATCACTGTACCTCTTATCACTGCACCTCTTATCACTGTACCTCTTATCACTGCACCTCTTATCACTGCACCTCTTATCACTGTACCTCTTATCACTGTACCTCTTATCACTGTACCTCTTATCACTGTACCTCTTATCACTGTACCTCTTATCACTGCACCTCTTATCACTGTACC